GGCCCCGTACTTGTCCTCAGGCAAAAGGGTTGCCGCCCGCCCCAAGGGTTCGGTCAACCAAGAGGTTGATAAGAGGTGTTTGATGTCGCTGTGGTTGCAATGAAGTAATTTCCCACCGACTCGCAGAATCAGAGAATGGGGTGGGTTAGAGGGACCTTAAAGCTCATCCAGTTCCAAGCCCCTGCTACGGGCAGGGACACCTTCCACTGGACCAGGTTGCTCCACGCCCCTGTGTCCAACCTGAATGGGCTTTGGCTCATGCAAGGTTTGCAGTGGTTTGCCTTTGTGACCGGTGGCACTTTGACACTGGGCAAAATACATTTCCACAGCAGTGGGGTTTTGTCCTTTGCTGGTTGTGTGTCTCGACACAAAACCAAAGTATGTAGCCTTAGGAGGGCACGGATGGATGTCGCTAACAAAACTGCTGCTCCTCAGCATGGTGCTGCCTGTGGCCAGTGGCAACGGGAGACTGGGTGCCATCCACACTGCAACTGCTCCTGAAAGCAAATGGGCCTCAGTGGAAATGTCAACAGTCAGACCAATTTTATTGTTCCCAGTTGGCAAAATACTGTAGACAGTAGTTCTAATGAAACCTCTATTACTGGTGATACTGGTATTGCCAACACTGCAATAGTGAGCAACTCTTGAAAAAGAATAAATTCTAGTGTGTTCTTTGATGTGAAAGTAGCTGTGGAAGTGAAACGTTTTATTACATCTTCCACCATTTCCCATCTCCAAGGGTTCTGCTATCACTAGTGGAAGGGACTAGAACTGGTAATACCTTTGCTTTGTGTTTAGTGTGTCCCTCTTCTATGTAGCTGTAAGTGTTTCCTGGTTTTCCCATTTGGTAAGTCATGGTTTGGTGACTGTCTCTGATACCCGACTAAAGAAGGAAACTAATAAGTATGTAGAAAACCCCAAAATCCTTTTGTTAAAGCAACATCAGTGTTGATTAAATATGGACAGAGCCCCAAATATATTCTCACAGTTCAAAAGGCCCTTAAAGACCATGTTGGAAGAAGTCTGCCTGCCAGGAATCTAAGTTTTCATCTTTCTAATAGGGCTCAAAGCATCCTAACCTAAAATCCCAGGTTTCCTATGGGGTAGTGACCCTTAGCTCTATCTGTCGTCTTGAGTCTTGTTACTAGGTGCAGCATAACCACAACTCCTTAAAATTGTGCCAGTTTTGTTAGCTCAGTTCTGTCCAACCAAAACCCCACTTCTAATTAGGAGAGTTGGTCATGGTGATAAATAACCTTACACCAAGTATGTTCTGTAAGAAAGGAATCTACAAAAGAAGTAGTTATCATTGTTACTGAGGAGCTTCCTGACAAGCTTCTCTTCCAGGTTAAATCTTCTGTTATGAAGATCTTTAATATTGTATTATTGGAGTGTTGAGACACATGAACCTAAGAACATACGTTTTCATGTGTACATATGTATTTAATGAAGCAACCTTTGAACCTGGTTATTAGATACCTGGGACATTACATACGTCCTATCAGCAAGGAGTATATTCTAAATATACTTCTTGTTTTCCCCTGTGTGTAGCATGTACCCAATTTTATGCATAGCATTTCACATGAGAACTTGTTCAGAGCAGGAGGATTTGGTTTAAAGATTGTTTCTAGTTTTATTGTTAGGGGGAAAAAAATTGCAGTATTATGTTAAAGCTTAATAACTACATGCTAATAGATGTTAATAAATAAAAGCATGCTGCAAGAATTTTAATAGACCAGTAGGATCTAGTAGAGTTCTTTATGTATTTCTAAGGGTTTCTCTTGGCCAGGATTTTCTTCTCTCCTTATGAGAGAGAAGAGACATGTATTCTTTTAAGATCTTATCTACAGACAAACCCATTATTTTGTAGCAGCTCACTGCATAGGGGAGGTGGAGCCTACGTGACTTCTAATAGAAATCAGTTTCATGGATAGTACAATGACTATTTTTGGTATTCTGTATAAAGCCAAGTAAGCTTTGGACAAATGCCCATTGTATAGGAGAGTTAAGGAGATTTGGATACTCATCACTAACTTTGCCAAATAAATGCATGTTCATCTAACTTGGATGTGGCTTTGGACTTCTGTACTTAGACATGAGTTGGATGTGTTCCCTGGAATCTCATTCTTAAGCAGATACTATAGAAGTAAATGTATAGTGTAACAGAAATACTTCGAATACTGCAACATATAAATGGATTTGCTCAGTGGTGGATTTGATTGAAAAATACTTATGTAGTAAACCCGTCTTTGTATAAAAGCTGACTTTTAATGAAGTTCTTTCTCTTTCATTTAAGGCTAACTACTTATCTAAATTTTCAAAAGCTCCAGTAATATCCAAATTGGTTGGAAGAAAAGTTCTTGATGGAGTTGGACAGCCAACGTTAGAAGTAGAAACACACTGTACAGTTAAAAACCATGAGAAGGTATGAGCTGCTTCTTCCTGTTGGATTTAATAAGGCAGTGTTGGGGAGAGGTGCTATTCTACTCACATCCTAAAGAGCATTCTACTTTCCATCTTTAATGCAAGGATATGAATCCCTGTGACTCAGCAATTGAGTATTGCAACTTAGAAAATAAACTGTCATGAAAATTTAGGCAGTGGCAACTATAAAAACCTTATTTTCCATGAATCAGACAATTCTTATCTTTATGAGTGGGATGTGACAGTGCATCTTTGTATATTAGATTTTTGTTTGCCTTAATGAGATGTAGCTTTTCCTTACACCTCATATCTAGCTGTGTATGTTCATTTTCCTTTTTCAGATCCTTACAGTTCTATTTGTATGACAGTGTTTCAGAAAAATATATACAGGTGAAAAACACAGTATAGGTGAAGGCGGGTTTTTATACTGAGCTAATAGGCTGATAGGGGTGATAGGTAAGTCAAACATGATCATCTAGCACCTGCTATGCAAAACTGATGGGGCATTGCCATCAAACCTCAAGTATTCAAGATGCTGTCTTTGCAACTCTAAGCTGTTGTGGAGTAATTATTTCTGCTTTCTCTCAGTTAAACTAGGGTTCAGTTCATTCTTGAATTAAATATCTTCCCTTAGCTATTCACACTATGTAAAGGTAATACTATTACTGCAGGCAGAGCTGTTATGTTTGTAAATTGTTTCTTCATTAAGCAAATTTCCTTAAGTATCGTTTATTCTTCAGCAGCACAGATAAGTTTAAATTAGTTAAGTAAGACAAAATGTAGCTCATCACGAGGGATGGCATTAAGCATGAATGCTGATGAATCGTGGTACAACAGGCTATCAACAGCTGCAATAGAAGATGTCCTAGTGACTGTATATATATAACTCCATTATATTCTGATAACAAAATATATGTGTAAAGCAGATCTGTCAGGAGGTTTTTACCTAAGTAGTTATAATTTAGGTTGAGAAACTTGAATAACATCTGATTACAAAAGTGTAAGAGACTAGAAAGAAGGGGCTGGATGAAGAAAGATAAGTGAAGCAAACAGTAGATTTGGAGATAAGTGCTTATAGAGTTGGTAAGGACAAATACTTCTTAGTCTTTCAAATGCTATTTCCAAGTTAAACATTAATAAATAGTGTTTTATTAAATTAAATTGAATAGTCTTTTAAGCCTTTTTACATTTTTATTTGGCAGAGGATTTGCTCTGTTGTCATGTCTTCTCATCCTCAAACAGTTGAAAATGCTTTACCTGAAACAATTGAAGCTGATGAGAAAGAAAGGAATGACTCTGTTAACACTGCTGTGGAATGGGTCAATGAATCACTGAGCACAATGTTAAGAGACATGAAGCCTACTGACCAGTGTGAAGTTGATAAGATGCTTGGGTAGGTCTTGCTTATTATGCAAATTATTGCATCTGAAATATACACCATTAATTTATATTGTAAATTAAAAACATATCGAATACTCAATGTTCCTACTATTTTTAAAATATTTTTAGGATGTGATGTTTCAGATACATGTGCTGTATTATTTCCTGCTTTTTTTCACAATCATGATATGAAAATCATGCTGTTTTTTAGAAGGTTTCATACCTGGGATACAAAAATAAGTCTTTAAGAAAAAAATGCTTGAACATGTTCATGAGTCAGAGTTTCCATTTATGAAACTCATTCAGTGCCAGTTTAATTCAGTGGGGATGTTTTTTCAGACTGCAACTCCCCTTCTTCTGTTCACTGCACTGCAGAACAAAAGTGATACAAAAGGCCTCTGTGTGTCTCTTCTGCATTGAGCTAATCCACAGAAAACATGTATATACATACAATTTTCAAGTTCTGGTGGAGTCTTCCTTATGTGCAAGCTACTCTAAAAGGCTTCTTAGTTGGGGCAATTATTTTCTTCAGAAACACAGTTTCTGTAGTAAACACCCATATTTATTTTTTCATACAAACATTTCTTGGGAGCATCCCAAAGTGAAAAAGAATGGCTATATTTTTCCATCTGAAGAAATATGTTTGGGTTTTATAAGTAAATAAAAAAAGATGCAACGTAGAAGTATCACAGATGTATCAAATGTGTTTTCACAGTAGCATTAGAGGAGCTACCAGGCAACATTAACGGCTTGCTTCACCCTGGAAGCAGTAATATCATCCTTTGTTGTAGTCAGAAGTGTTTCTTTCAGCTATATCACTGAGGGAGATGACACTGCTGTAGCAGTTGGGCTGCCACACTTTTAACACAGTCTCAAGCAAACAGACCTAATTGCCTTCCATGTGGATTAGCTTTGGGAAAACCTTGATGAAGGAAGGACGGACTCCACTGGAAAGAAATTCTTCCAACTGAAATGAGTCTAAATAAGATTTTAATGCCTTGTTTACACTACTTTATATATCTTATATACTGCCTTTGCCTCAATTGGGTGAGTGTGACCCATGACTTCGGGCATGTAATTGAAATTCTGCCACTTTTGAGCTTGCAGCTGTTTAGCTAACCAGTATACAGCTGATCTATTGGATTAGCAACCTAGGCAAGGCTGTTGTATGCCATGAAATGATGACAGGATCTGTTAGTACTCACACAAAGCAATTACATCCTTCTTGCCAAAATTGTCTGCTCAGAGCTGACTTTCAAACCACTGTGATTTGAAAAGCATACCTTAAGGTTTATAATACTTGCTTGTGGTTCTTTTTGTTTAACCAGTGCTGCAGAAGACTGCCAAAAAATAATGTCATATATTGACTTCCCTAGCTTCACACAATGAGTCTATGGCAGAAGCTCAAGTAGATGCCCTTAATGTACCTCTTAGCATGTTCTTTAGCCTGTATCTTGTGTCTGCTTGTCACATATCTAACAATATTTTGTTAATATTGTTAATACTATATTTTGTTATTATATTATTAATATTAACAAAATAAAGATTAAAATATAATATTGTTCATAAAGACAGTAATCTTTATGTCTCTTCCCTCAGTGAATACTTTACAAAAAAGGTAGAAGAAAAGGAAGAAATTCAAAAGCAAGAAGAAGAAGAAAAAAAAGAAGAATCCCCTTTATGCATTCCACCAGCAACAGCACTACCTGGGGGGAAAAAAGCAGCAAAACAAGGTTTTATTTCACTTGATTTTAATATTTTCTGCAATACAGATATTGATAAGGGTGCTGAAATATTTTCTGCAGTATTCTGTGGACACATGACACAGTGTCTCATGTTCAAAGGGTTTGGTTACTCTCTCCTGAATCTTTCTGATTGCAGCATTTCTGCAGTTTCTACTGCAGAAATGAGAGGGGGGAAAAAACAGTTTTCTCATCATTCACATGCATTTCTGCCTTTGTTTTACAGTTGGCTTAGACAGGAGGTTATTAATCTTCAGAGTGAGGAATAAGAATGGAGGAGGATGCAAATGAAGAATAAAAATGAAAATGATAAAGAAAGAAAAGGGAATTACAGGACTGAACAGGCAAATAGAAATAGAATTAAGATAGAAGTTGAAAAGAATGGAAAGAGGGAGGAAGGGAAGTTTCTTGCTAGCGCCAAGACAAGGAGGAAATAGGGTGAAAAGCAAAAGAGAAAGAAGGAAGGGGATGAGGTGGGAATGATGGGCAGGGCATAGTAAAAAGAAGTAAGTAAACAATCCTACTGAAGGAAAATATGGTGTGATAGTAGAGAAAGGGGGAAGTATAGTGGCCAAAAAAAATCCCAAAGGAAAAACCCACCATATCTAATCTCCATATATGGATCACCTCATAAAAAGAAGGTTTATTATCATTTAGTGGAAGAGCAGAAAATTGTGGTAAATTATTATTTCCTATCAGTTTAGTTTCCACTCATATACTATCAGTAAAACCTCCCAGTTAATGTTAGATATGCACACCATATATTCACCTTTGAGCTGAAATGTATCATCCAGATATCATCATTTTGTATCTTGTGCTTTTAACCAAGCTTCTGCTGACACATATATTACTTGTTCTCACTGTGTTTTCTTTATACTTGACTCTGACATTGACTGTAATATATTGTTAGAATCAACACCTACTATTAACAGCCAGTGATTATAAAGCTCCTTGTTGTTCCAGACCACTAACAGATGGTGACTTCCAGTAGCAGGTGCTTTCAGAGCATCTATGGTGTAATTTATGCAGGTTACAAAGTAGCGTAATGTGAAGGATCTCTGTAAAACAGTATGCTTTGTCAAAGTTGCTCATTACCGGATTAGTAGTATCTATGTATGTAGCTCTTCATCCTCAGTGCAAGAGGTACAGAATTTATTTAGAAGATGAAAATGATGTATCATCTAATCTGCATATCCAGTTAAGGTTCTGTTAAGAACATTTTATCATAGAATATCAGTTGTATCTTGTAGTATTTATCCTTTATTGAAACCAAGATTTATTCTTCACTCCTACTAGAACCAAAGTAGTTGGTCAGGTTTACCAAAAAGTTCTCAGCGCAAACGAGTGCTGCGAATCAGAGGACGTACTGTGGTTTCACACAGGTGCTTACTGTACAAGTTCATGTAAGCGCACTGTAGGCAATAAACATGGTAGTGGGAACTGCTGGGTTTCAGGCATTTTAGCAGAAGTTACTCTACTATACCTGAAAGGGAAATAATTTCTTTTGAAAACGTGGAGTATGTAAAAAGCTGTTTTCTCATTGGAAAACCCAACTGTAATAGGACTAAGTTTGTTTCACATTCAGTATTAGAAGAAAGCAAGTATGTCCTCCCAGTCAGGTTATAATGTCATTTTCCAAGTTCATTTTGCAAAAGCTGAGCATATAAAGGAGAATGATAAGGAAAACTGAAATCATGCTTATGAAAGGCACCTGAAAAATGATGCAACATTACTGGATATAAACATAGATAAATAAAACCACAGATTTCAGTGGCTGAACATCTCCAAAAGAAATTGATTTGAAATACATTTGAGACAGAGTGACCTTTGCTTATTTATAAGGTCATTTCATATAAAACAACTGATTCTTTTGAAATACGTTGAGTACGCCTGAAATGACAGTATCATGTTTACGTAGAACTGTGATACATAAGCACATGTTTTAAACCAAGAAAATAATTAACTATTAGTCTCTGTCTTGTAGGAAAGAAGGTGTCAGTTCCAGAGAAAATGATCCCACCTGCAGAACCTGCTGAGTCGGTGCTTTGTGGCAGTTTAGCCATTGGGGGAACATCCCTCTCTATAGCTAAGGCTGGTGCCACCATTAACCGTGTCCCGTTGTACTTACATATCTCACTGCTGAAACATGATCAGGTACATGTGACTTTTGTCCTTTTTATTTATTTTATCCCAGTTATCACAATTACTCTGGAATTCTGAAGCCAGTAGTCCCTCGTGGCAGTGGTGTTAAATATACCTCATGGAATACACCTTTAAGACCATTGCCCGTAGCAGCCTTTAACCCTGTGCTATAATTCAAATATATATAAAAAAACTACTCTGATTTTTAACATTTTCATGAACATTAAATATGTTCATTTAATGTTCACTTAACAATTTTATTAATTGGTACTCCCAATTACAGGATTCACCTAAAGAACTGACTCTTCCACTCCCAATGGTTACTGTGTTGAACTGTGAAAAAACTGCAAAACTGAAATTAGTGAAAGAAGTTATGCTTATACCACCAGTCCAGTTATCATTCAAACAGGTACTGTTTCATTCTTGTTCTTATAAATGTATTCTATCGACTTCATATCATCTATATATATACACAAATATATACAACTTTGCACTATAGTTCTTACAAACTGTATTTTTCATTTTTGTTTGCTTGAAAGGCTGAAGTTTTAACAAATGTTAGTGCAGAATTCTAGCACCAGGAAAAGAAGTAAATAGATGAAGATTTAAAAGAAGATACATGAGGATTTTGATTTAAGAATGTATGTGTTAGAAGAAAAAATCAGTGCATTGAAGAAGATGTAGGGGAATTGTGTTAGAAAACAACAAGAGATTTTAATTTTGTTTAGAATGGGATTTTACGTTGGTAGATTATAAATAGTATCACTTGACAGAGAATACAAAACACAACTCTTAACAAAATCACAGGAAAGCATAAAATCTTTGGGAATAAATTGCTTTTTAAATGACATTGTGAAGATAGAAAGGAATACAAAGCAGAACAAAATCTATTCAAGGGGCAAGAAGGATGGTTGATCCAGTCTGTCAGCCTGGATCAACCTTCTCTTTTTGTTTAGCCATGTGTTGCATTAAAGAATGTATCTGCACAAGATGCCTACATTAGGGCTGTGATTTCTACTTTGTATGCTGGTGACCTGAACAAATTGCTGAGCTCGATTCTCTTTTTCCTTTAACTTTTTAGAATTGTCACCAAGAGCTCTTAATAAGGTTGCTAATTCTGCACCTTTCAAAGACGGAATGCCTCCTAGTGCTCATGGGAGAGCAGCAAGCTGTTTGCTGCAGTGCTAAAAACGTAGCCGTTCGTCCTGTGTTGGTGTGTTGTCAGCTGTGACTGACTTCTGCCCCCTTCAGTGTTCCTTTACTGGCACAGCTGAAGAAAATCTGAAATGGGATTTAGAAAGTTAGCATTAAACTTTTACTAACTCAGCTGAAAAGAAAAAGGGTCTTGCATTAAAAGCAATGGATTCATTTAATCAGAGCGTTCCTCATTACCCGGTGTTTAAAACGAAGACAGGGATCTTTTTTCCCTGCTTCCTGGGAATGTTCTGAAGGTAAATACATTCAATTTTGTCAGTGTTTCCAGTTAGGAAGTTTTAGAGTGACAATTGTGAAAATCACCTTCCCATTTCTCAGATATTATACAGACCCAGATAATGCTACATGTTAGATTTGGGAAGGGTTCCATTTGGGGAAGAAACTACTTTGCTTGCCATCCCATTCAGCAGCAAAACCAAATATGTTCATTCCACTGCTACTAACCCTTTGTCATAGGACAGTTGATGTATTTTGTGGGTGGGGAGGATTGCACTAAGGAAGCTATTTTTTTAAGACTTCATATTAAGATCTGCATTTAGAATAAGTGTTCTCTGTCATCTGATTTAACCTGCTAAAAAGGAAATAATTTATCTTCCTTTTGAAGATTACTGTTTTTTAATTTCAGGGCTTAGAAAGAGCTCTGGATATTCAGAAAGAATTTATGGGAGTGTTGGATCCTCCAAGGAAAGAGGTACAATAAGAATGTGTAATAATAATGTGAGGTACTTCATTTGGTCTTTCTATTTCTATTCTCTTTTTAACATTAAACTTGGAACATTTAGCCAGTTATCAGGCTTAGTCTTACGACATAGGTTAGGTGGTGTGTTTCTCTGGCAGATGAATAAGCATTGGCCATTTAGTGATATTAAACTAACAAAGATAATATAAAACAATGTTCTAAGCATAGTCAGAGTTTCTGTTTACCTGAAAAAGTATCCTGGGAGTGAATGGTATCATAGTGAATATACCATAGATGGTTCTGATCTTGCTAAGTCACACACAGCTATACACAACGTGCATTATTCAAGGTACTATTGCTGTTATAGTGTATCTCAATATGTGCTTATGCTTTTTGCAAAACAAGGTTGTTGGGTTTCTCCAAGTACAGAGTCTAGATTATAATTTCTGAGATCTCCTGTATTTATGACAGACTTAGTGGGAATCTTTTGAAACAATAGTTGGAGAGATGCCCACATAGAAATGAACATTTCTATTCAGGTTTAGGAGAGACCTTATCACCATGTTTCAGAATTGAAAGGGTGGCTACAGAGAAGATGGAGACTCCTTTCTACAGGGGGTCGCATGGAAAAGACAAGGGGTAATGGGTACAGTTAATCCCAGGGAAGATTCAAGTTCAACACAGGAGGAAAATTTTTCACAATGAGAACCAAGAACCATTGGAATAATTTCCCCAGGGAAGTGGTGGAGGGTGCTGGGACATCCAGTCTAAGTCATGTTTTGCCTAGAAAGATTGGAGCACATGATCCTCAAGGGCCCTTCCAACCTGGTACTCCATGGTTCTTTGATTTGAAATGAGTTACCACTACAAAATAAAAGTGAATAGCTGCTGATAGTATTTGAGACAAAACAGAAGCTATATCCTAACTTAAATATTTGCAATCTTAGATCAAAATTCAGTCACCTTTCTTCTCTGTCATTTTTGGACTTTTCCATGGAATTGATTTCTTTCTTATTTTACTCCCCCCAGCCCAGTCCTCGAGCAGCAGACAGTAAGAAAGGCAAAGCACAACATACAGGGAAGAAATCTGCGGTAAGAAAAGACATTTTTATTTTAAGCCTTCAGCATAGTACTAACAACAGCTGGGAAGCAAAATGTTCTTAAGAAATAAACATGAATCTGCATTACTGCTTTGGAAAGGTCAAGGCAAGACTTTTAAATATTCCAAATGCTCATATCTTACATAGTAATTTGGATTCTTCTGACCATACCTTCCCTTCCTGTGGGACAATAACAGAAAGGGGAAATTCCTCTGTAATTTGGGCTTTTTTTGTTCATATAGAAATCCTGGTAAATTATCCAAATGAGCATTTTGCAGGCCTCTAGTGTCAGCAGAGAATATGCCCTTTTGAATATGTATGCCAAAAAACAATAACCTGTAAGGCTTGCATATTGGGTTGTTTCCTGACTCTGGGAGCATAACTCCCCTCTTATTCATGCTGCATTAAGTTCCCAGTTCCTGTTCGAGGTTATAGATAGTGGCAGATACAAACCACTAGCTAAAGGGCAGCACTCCCAATGTGCACTGGACATTATTTTGTATGACTCAGATGATCTTTTTTTAGCACTTCAAAACCTGTAGTTTATAGATGAGTTTTCCATCTAATGGGATGGAAATGCTGTGTGGGCTTTGGTCTCCATTCTGAGACGATTAAAACGTTATCAGGTGAGAACTGTTGTTGTTGAGTATACAAAAGAGGATGAACAAAAGTTTTCCTATTCTGTTGCTTAAACACAAAATTCATCATTAAGCAGTGGGTAATTTCCACATTCTTATCACAGTATGTACTGTAGTCACAAGTTAAAGTAATTCCTTATGATATGCACAGGGAAACAATGCATTAGATTCTCTGGAAAAAAATCCATTTATTTCAATAGGAGAAAGCTAAAGGAGATAAAAGTGAGACTGAGTTTTAAACTGATAAAAGCACCATGTTAGTTTGAACTTTCTTTTTTTGGGGGGGGGGAAGGAGAAATGACAAAGTAAGCAGTGAAGAAGAACTTGTTTAGGTTGTCAAATGTTATAGTATAGAAAGTACTATATACTATAGTATAGACAGAAAAAATGATTTTATAAAGATAATGCTTTGCTTTTAATAGAATGAACAAGGCACAACATATGGGTACCTTGAAACTCACATGAAAATGCAGACTTAACCTCTGTAGTTTGTTCTCTTACCTCTCATCAAAACTGATGCTTTCCAATTGTCTTCTCCAGTCTAACCTAGGATTACATCCTGCTGCTTTCTGGGCAACTTAGGGTCATTCTTTAAAATCCAAAATTCACAGCCTTTAAAGTCAAAAATCAGTGCTTGAAAAACCTACAAAAAACCTGACAATAGAAGGACACATGAAATATTTTCTTGATACAACTCTGCTTGCAGCTCATATTCAGAACACTGTTCCTGAGGTAGACAGCTCCATGTAGTTGTGCTCAAGGTATTTCCCCCCTATGAAATTTGTTCCTTCTAGAAGTCCAGGAAGACTCTAGTGTTTCTTGAACACTCCATAGAGGCAATATCAAAGTTGTAGTTGAGGATAAATGAGTAAAAGCTGTTTAAAAATTGGAGAGTATGTTTTTGTTGCAAAGGGATGGCCCGTAGCACTGGCAACTTTTAGCATAGCATCCATGGCAACCCAGTGGTTGTTAAGAGTGTGTTTAAAGTCTTTTCTGTAAACCAGTACTGGCCATGTAAATACAAGAACTACATGACTAGACATATTTCCAAAGACTATGAGCCTTCTCATTACTAGCACTTGATCACCCCTCATTCACAGAGAATTCTCCTTAAAGTTGCCAATGCGATCTCTGAGAACAGATTTGTATTTTGGTGACTGAATGCAGACTGAGATGACAGGGAAAAAATATATACACGTATAATATATATACACATGTGTGTACATAAAGTGATTTTTTGTGTTTTACTTGCAGCAAGAAGCCTCAAAAAGAATATCACGCTTAGGCTGCCCAGTAACAGGATGTGATAATCTAGAACAGCTGCTACTCCTAATGCAAACAGCTTGCGACAATATACATCTGGAGCTAGGAACAGATATGTACTTAGCAATAAATTGTGCTGCTCATGAACTAATGGATTATGTAAGTTATTTTCAATATCTATTTTGTTGTTCTTTAAAAGGAATATAGCCATTTGTTAGCATTATTTAGCATTGCATTGCAAACTCACCTCGAAGCTTCTAACACCATTTTTTAAGGTAGCAATCAAGCAAACCAAAAGAATTGTCTCTGCATTTAAATCAGTCCTACAAGTGTAGCAAATGTGTTAATGGCTTGTGAGTGCAAGGGGATGAGATGTGCTGACATCCTTCTGGTAGCCTGATGCAGTGGAAGCAGGGAGAATGAATATATTCCTCCTCCCCAGCTGCACCAGCATACTGGTGGCATGGAACAAGGCTCGACTGGACCAAGGCAGACTCCCATTACAGCTTTGTCCTACGTACAGGAATCTGTTACTTTGATGATTTAACTTTAATCATTGAAATTGTATAAGCCTGCTTGCACTAGCCAGGTTTAGTCCTTTTCTCTGTTTAATTATTCAGTGAGATTTTTCAGATCAGTCTGTGTCAAATATAACAAACTCTTAATGGGCAAACACCTATTACAAGTTCTGTTTGACAAACCAGCTTCATCTCACATTACATCTTAGACAATTTTGAATTCAAGTATTAAGCAGCAAATCCTGTTTTGTTGTTTGTTGGGTTTTTTTCATTTCACCTCAAGGTACAAATGAAATAATCCTCTCTCATCCACCTTGCTTTCAAGGATGAAGAATAAGAAATTACTTACACAAGTATACTTCTTCAATTCCTTAACACCACTACCTGCTCATTTCTCCATTATACTACACTACATCTGTTGTTTAATTCAAACTACCTTAACCTTCTTGTCATGGTGTGATTCTGTACCCACTAAGATTCATCTCATTGTGTATCAACATTAACCTTTTAATTCTTATTTTTATTTGACTGTTTAATTATCTCCAGCTGAAGTCTTGAAGTTCTTGCCCCTTGTTCCAAAATTAATCAGGTTTCTAAGCAGAAAAAGAAACTTCCGTTTAATACCTTAAGAGATTAATTTGGGTATACTGCAGTGACTAGTATCTTTTGTGAATGCAGTTGCTTTCCTGACAGTCTGGTGTCTGTATCCCATAGACCAGAACAAGAAAAATCTTAACCAATGAATTATCAGTAACTCTGTTACTTTCTGTTACTGATCTGCTGCAGTCACTGAAGCAGTGGCTATTCTGGCACAGTTTGACAGTCTGCCCTTAATAATCATGCACTTTGTGCTTCCCATAATGATGACACTCGTTTTAAACTGGTCCTTCTTGAGAGAGAAAAAAGACAAGGAAAGGCAGCATCTAGGTTTTGAGCACTGAGGGTGCACTCCTTTTTCCCCTAGCAATATTTTCTTTATGAAATAAGAATAATAAGAATAAAGATTAAATATTAAATTTAATATTAAATTAAATAAAGATTAAGAATTAAACAAGAATAAAAATTAACTTGGGGGAAGTGAATAATGAGAGTTTTCATGCGACATTCAATAAAAAATGTCTAATATTGATAAATTTATCATAAAGTAGTGTAAAATGGGCAGTGTTCCCTAAAAATGCTGAAATAGATACTTGGTTTGGGAGTGGCATCGCTTTTGGCACCCACTGTTACTTCAGGAAGTTTTTATAACAATATGCTGAGCACTTCAGACACGGAGTAAAGCAGACAAGTGAATGTGGCTTATTGAAGAGCATAGCCCACTGCCTTGATGTGGATACTGGTGTCACAAGAGCTGTGTGCTTACATGAGCACTCTGTTTTTTAAAGCATTACCTTCCTTACCTTTTATGCTTTTTACTTTACTTTCTAGAGTAAAGGAAAATATGAAATACTCACTGGAACATTCAAAAGCCCTGATGAAATGATTAACATGTATGTGGAACTGACTGACAAATTCCCTTTTATTATTGCATTAATAGATCCCTTAAGAAAAGAGGTAAGATACCACAGTGCAACCCTTGGAAAACTGGTAACGCTGTTCAGTGGCAAATCACTGAACTTTTCACATGTTTACAAAACAGAAAATACAAAGCTGCTGCTTTTGGAGTCATTAAACATAAAGATATCACTATAAAAAATTATCTAACGATTCATTTGCAGATCTGTAACTGACAATAACTCTAAACCTTTCTATACTTTTGACATCATTCCTGATGGAAAATAATCCTGGCATGAACAGAAGATGGTCACTACAAGTAGTTTAAAGAATTACAAGAAAATGCCTTTTTTCTCCTGATTCTATTTGCTAAACCACTGTGCCATTTTTATTAGATTTTGCTTACATTTATTACGTTTTATTACGTTATTTCCATAATTCAAATTATAAAATCAAATTATAAAATTCAAGTTGTAGGTTTTTATTTATTTTATTATGTTATGCTATATATTTTATATTATTTATGT